AAAATATCTTACGATAAATATGTGGATACTCAGTTGATGCATGCTTGAAACACTTCTCAGATATGCTATTATCTTTGGTAAGATTTTATTGGTTAGGTAAAAATTTGTTACGGCCTGAAATGGTTGTCGTAAGATGGCGCTGTCATATTTTCATTTTAAAATATTAATTTGCTTTATTTGTCAAACGTTCTGTTGAACAAAAACCTACGTAAATTGTATTTATACAGGCATCTTTTATTATTTGTAGAACAATTTATTTTTTAAAAGCCTCTTAAACCAAAAAATTTCGAGTTATTTTACCGCATCGCGATGTGGTAAAACAAGGAATGACCACTGTAAAACCGTAGTTACCGTGGACATCCAACATCCACTGTTCATGAATGAGGGTATGGACAGAATGAGCTCTCTACAGATCGGAAGCCCCCCTTTGTTTTATCCTATACTAGCTGACCCCGTGAACTTCGTTTCACCTACAATTTAATTTTGAATCTGCAAAACCGAATGCTTTGAAATCTTGCAGATGTTTTAAAAAATATATTTTTCTACTCCCACATAGTAATCCATGAATTACGAACTGTCTAGCCTCATAGTAAAACCATAGTTACACCCACTGGCATGTAATGAATGAACAGGCACGTAATATATATATATTACGTGCCTGTTTGGGTAGTTTCCATAGCAACTATAAGTATTTGCTTTCCCAAAAAAATTTCTTCTGAAAGTGATTCTTCATTATAGATCGTAGAAAAAGTATATGACACAACTCTGGTGGTAAGCTAATTACGAACTCATATTACATCACTCGCTCGCTACGCTCGCTCGTGTATAAACTTCGTTCGTAATTAGCTTCTTACCACCCTCGATATGTAATATACTATTTTCTACTCCCACATAGTAATCCATGAATTACGAACTGTCTAGCCTCATAGTAAAGCCATAGTTACACCCACTGGCATGTAATGAATGAACAGGCACGTAATATATATATATATTACGTGCCTGTTTGAATAGTTTCCATAGCAACTATAAATATTTGCTTTCCCAAAAAAATTTCTTCTGAAAGCGATTTTTCATTGTAGATCGTAGAAAAAGTATATGACACAACTCTGGTGGTAAGCTAATTACGAACTCATATTACATCACTCGCTCGCTACGCTCGCTCGTGTATAAACTTCGTTCGTAATTAGCTTCTTACCACCCTCGATATGTAATATACTATTACTTCCTCCAAAAAATTGATCTCGTCAGCCCAAAATTTTTCTAAATGAATCCTAACTAAAATGCCCAAAATAGGATAAGACTATACTTGTGATTTATCATTCCATTCATATTTTTTAGTTTTGCTTATAGGGAGTGTCTCAAAAAAATTAACCACTGACTCAATTTATTTTATTGATTGAATCATGAATTGCAAAACTGAATTTTGAAAAATTGCAGACGTTTTGAAGTTACTGTTTGACATGGTACGTTTTTAATCAAAATATATCTGTTTATCAAGCCCAAAAACTTGATGACATCATCTCAAGATTTTGCCGAATAAATCCTATCTAAAATGTGCAAAATATCATCAGTATATTTTCGTAATTTATCATTGCATTCATATTTTTTAGATTTGCTTTTACAGTGACAAAAAAAAAGTATGGATCAGTCAATTTATTTTAGTAAATAACTCAAGAGTTGCAGAAATGAATAGTTTGAGATCTTGCAGACGTTTTAAAGTTATTGTAAGCATGGTAAATTGTTAAAAATATTTATTTATTCCCCTCAAAAAATTTATGGAACGGCTCACTCGATTTTCGCAGATAATTTTGTGAATATAATACAGTTATTTTTAGTATTACACTGCACCAATCCAAGGTGGTATACGTGTTGATCGTAAATGTTGATTAGGTCATCACAAAATTGTGTGAAGAAAAGACTCAACTCGAAAATGCTGAATATGTTTCGTTATACTTTTGATGCGAAGGAAGTTCTGTCGAAACAAAGTTCGATCAATTTTTTGACAATGGTTGATATAAATAAAACTCAGTAGATGCTCATACGCGAAAAACTAAGTATCTACTGGAATATCAAATCAAAATATTTCTAGTTTTTCTAGATGATGCTAATACTTCAGTAGGTAACAGTTGATGCTCAAGTAGCATTTGGATACAACAAAAACGGAAAACAGTGACAGTGTTCAACCATCAAGGCAAAAATCGACTCACCAAAATATAAGTTAGTATGGGGTAGACACCTTAAGATGGGAATCTTAAGTGTTAGAAAAAACGCACTTTACAATTTATGCATAAATAAAAGTTAATTACCTGAAAGTTTTCGATATTCCCGCTCCTAATGTGTTTTTCAAACTGAATGCACCTTTTGACGACGTTCCACGTTCATGAAAGTTGTCATGTTTAGTCAAAATTCACTCTTACAACGATCCTATTCGTTTTGTAAGCTGCTTTACACACAACTCAGTCATTTGCCACGACGATGCTCATTTTTAGATTAAATGCTCACAAAACGCGTAGATGTTCAACTTGTGTCCGGGGAGATACAATGTTTCCAAGTAGGTACTCAGTACATAGAGTAGATGTTCAGGTATATAAAAGTAATAATGAAGTAGGTACTTCGTACTTCGAATATGAGTATCTACTCAGTTTTATTCATACTACCCAATGTCTCGCTTCAATGTTTGATTATGTTGATTATGAGTACAACGCCGATCAACTTCCGTATCCGAATTACCTATGAAATAAATCATTGCGATTTGCACCTAAGGTAATTCGTCGCACATTTGATTGACTTTGTGGACCTATGTCAGCTTGTCGTCTTCTCGGCATTGTAATGAACTTCATAAAACGACACAGAATTATTTTCACAGTCAATCAAATCTGTAAATTTTGTCTTGGGAATTTTAAAATATTGAAAACTTTAAATTAAATCCTCGAATAACGGTAAAGGTTGAGGTTTTGTCGAAACCAACAAAGTGAATATAGGTAAATAGAATGGCAGATCAAAATTAATAAGAAACTTTCGCAATGTGTAACTAAATTCACTTTAACTAAGACTTTTCTTAAAATAAACAACGTTTTTTTTTACGAAAAAACAAAGAACGATTTGAAATGCAATAGACTTTTCACAATCGCACGGAAGAAATAATTTTGTATGACACGTCAGTTAGGCGACCGGTCCGTCAGGAACGCCAACTATTGAAATTAATTCAAAGTGGCGTTCCCATACAAAATTTTTAGAATTTTTTGATTTTTTAGCTGTCTTATTTTTTATACATTTTCTTATATACAAACTTTGTCCTGACAATAAGGAACACATAAAAAAAAAGAATCATCCAATTTGGTGCAGTCGTTCTGAAGTTATGCGCGTACATACATTTCGGCGATTCATTTTTATTTATATAGAAGATAGATAGATTGTAACCACACAGTCCATACCGATAACACGTTGACAACGAGTTACGTTAAGGCATACTTTACATTACTAGTACTGTTATGAATTTTCATAACACTAATGCTGTTATGAAATCATAATCTTCACTGACATTTTCCCTTTAGAGCTGTTGACATAAAAATTAAAAAACTTACTAATTCCGAAGCGTCTGCTAATAGTAATTAATCTATATATCGTGTTTTTTTTTTCCAGGTCTTAAAGTTTACTACCTCTTTGAGATACCTGCCAGCTGTTTTTTTGCCTTGCAGCAACGGCCTTTTATTTTGGAAGTCATTCTCGCATTTACAAAATCAAAAACAATCGTTTTTTCAGTGTAAACAACTAATACCGTGGCTATCAGCGCAGGCATAGCTGACTTGATTTTTCGTGCGCTTTGAACTTTGTCGTTAAATAGTTATTTATGCAACAAGTGCAAAAAGTGACTGATTATTGCATGCGACGTAACAATTGTCCGACGAGACCAAAGGTCGAGTCGGACAATACGTCAAGTGCAAGAACACTTTTGCACGTGTTCCATACAACATTTTTTCTACAATCGTGGGTATAATGCATCAGTTTTATTGGAGACTTAAATAAAATTTTACAACAACTAAAAGGTATCATCATGCCGTCTTATGTAGCCGTGATTACCATGACAACCAAACAATGTTTCCAAAAAAAAACAAATTGCAAAATAAAACGCCATAAATAAGTAGTGACTGAGTGTTTTGAACCGTGCTGACCCCAAAATGAGCGATTCGAGCGAAAATGAAACAAACCCTGAAATTACCGAGATGGCCAATGTGGCAATATTTAATTTATTGCCCGAGAAATCTCACAAAACAATATGATCTGATCTATCTGACATACAACCAGTTCAAAGAATTGTATGCGGACAAAAATGTTGTGCAGTTAACAGAAACCGTGGTTCTGGCTTATTTTTCCGATCGGTCAACGAAGGTAAAGTCTTCTACCCTCTGGTCCGAATATTCCATGATACGTGCTTCCCTTTCGGTGAAAGAAATTATGGATATAAATAAAATTTGACGTTATTTAGACTGACATTAGAGTGCAATAAAATTTTTCTTGCACTAGTGCAAGAAAGTGCCACTTTTTGCATTCTAAACCATTGACATATGAGTCATTTTTTACACGATTGTAGAAAAAATATTTTTGTTATAGTGTTAAATTGTGATTATAGGATAAAATAAAACGTGTTACGATGCACGTAACGTTATCTGGCTTTACGTTACTCGGAAATTTTAAAGAATTCGGGGCTACCGCCCCTCGTTCTTCACACATATTCCTCGTAATGTAAAAACCCTAATAACGTTACTTGTATCGTAAACTACTATTGTGGTTCATATAGGCATAACACGTGCCCCTTGTAAATGCCTACCATATGCGATTTACGAACGCAATTATAATTATTGACAACTGAAAAATTGTTTATTGAAATAAATCACATTTACCACGTACAAACAATTTAATAACGTAATACGTAATTAAGTACTTGAGGTTGCATGCAAACAGTAATTGTTCTAAAGGTTTTATAAGGTTAAGTTAATTACCTGCTAAGTGGAAATATCAGTTTTGTAAAGAGTTAAAATTTCGAATACTCTAGTAACAGCACTTGACCACAATAATAATATAGTACAACACTTCAAACTACGCCAAGGATTCAGGATATTTTTTTCTGAACACCACGCCTTCATCCATGAACGACGTATCTGTCAACAGTGTCAACCACAATGTCTTGAAATATTTTGTGTTCACGTTCACTAGAGATGGGTCGTTACTTTAGGAACCGTTCCATTGTAGCGCTACCACCGAGTAGCGGAGTGTAGCGCTCCTCGCGACAAAAGTAACACGTTCCACTCTGCGTTCCACTTGGAACTTGAAACGATATTTGTACGGGAGTTACGGGACGGAAATTCAAGGAACGAAATCATAAAACACGTTTGTCCGAAACGTTACAAGAAACGCAAATAGTGAGGGCTTGGTAACTGAAAAAAAAAGAGAATAATCTTTCAGTCATTAAAATAATTGTGTGTTTATCAACACAAAAAAAGATATCAGGAAACGTTTATAAATAGGTATTTATTTTATAATATTTATGAAAAAAAAAAAGAAAAACAAAATGTTTGCAACGCAGATCAAAAGTAAAGGTTTAACAATATTTAAATAAACAGATAAAATAAAAAGCAAAGCGGTTTTATCATAAAGCAATCTGCAAAATCAGCAAGTGTTGTATTTTGTTTGAGGGCGGTATCAAAGACGCTGCATATTCGATAATTTTTTGTAAGAATGCGACGGTCGATATAAATGACTCATTATCAGAAAAGATATAAAAGCTTAGGTATAAAATAGTTTATAAATAAGTTTTAATTGAATACATGTATTTCAATAGGAAACGAAAAAATTTGTAAAATCTCAGTCTAGTAGAAGATTGGGAATTAACACAGAAAGTTGCGAAAACAAGACCATAAAAATATTTGTAGTTTTGTTTATTTTATTATTTTTTTTATTAAAATGAAAGTAGAGTGCCCGTCCTAATTGTTGTCAGTATTTATTGTGTCCAGAATGTCCGTTCGCTAAAGTCGGGGCCATTAGTATAAAACCACTCCCTAGTGTAAATTTTCAAAATTTGTTGAGTGTAAGTTGAATTAATGGGTTTTGGTGAGATTTTTGGGGGAAATCTTCTGTTAGGTTATGATGCTGTCAATAATTTGTCAAATAGGGACTTGTAACACAGTAAAATGATAAAGAGTATCCAAATATCTGTTGATCAGCACAGGTGGTTACCACTTACGTAGATACAAAATTACCGAGGACTTCTGTATAAAAACAAGGAAACAGTCAAAAAGTTGAATAAATTAACGTATGTAAGTATGCCAAGAACTTTGAGAAACGTACCCAAATCCAATTTCTACGATATTCATGTTGAGTTAATAGTGACTGGAAAATACTTGTATATTATAGGCCAAGGTAGTGAAGTAAACAGTATATATGTCTCCTATCTATGGTGAAGATAATCATTATATAGACTGAACGCAGATTAGAGCACGAGACGTGAAGCGTCAAGGATTATTGTAAGCGTGAGGTCTATATATCTTCACTACCGTGGCGTAGGTATATGCTATTTTTTTTCACTAGTAGCGCACTACAAAACACATTTGAAAAAATTTCGATTTATTAAAAGGAACATAACATCACTAACATCACCTAACTAGGTTTTGATATTTTCCGTCATTATTTTTCGACGTTTGAAAAGTTTTGGTTTCATGTTGGTTTGTAGATGATGAGGTTTGTAAATTCAAATTGTCAATTAATTTGTTATTTTTTTAGGAAATATATCAAGCTGTGAACTATGTACCCCTCTAGAGATACTGTTCCTCGTGAAAATGATTTAAAAAATCTGGTAATAATCGCCAATTTTCGTTTGTTAAGGCGTTACATAACCTCAATTTTTATTATAGACCGTTAAAATAGAATGGTTATTGACCCTCGGTGAACATTAACTTCACTTCCATTAGCCAAATTTAATTACCATTATGGAGAAAAATGAATTTATTACTCACAGACAAAGCATGATAGTGGTGCATCTCTACGCTACTAGTGAAAAAAAATAATTATACGCTTGTAGGTGCGTAGGTATTTCGATTCAGGTCAGACAACAAACAATACTCAATTCCCACCATATAGCAAATAAAGGAAATTTACTTGTATATCCTGCCACGCTGACTGTTTAAATTTAAGATGGTTTTCTTTACTTGATGAAAAAAGTGTTCGAGTGACAAAACGTGGCAAACCAATTTTTCTGTACTTTTTGTACTTATGGATTTTCCAAATGGTAAAATTTTATGCATATCTGATAACTAGTCATCATTAGTTTTTTTTTAGTCTCAAAAGTTTGAATGCTTCGAAAAAGAGCATTAAAAATGCTTGCAGTTAAATATTTATTTGCAAACACAACTGCTAAATCTGTTTACAATTACTAAAAAATGTTTCGACTTCAAATAGGACAGCTACATGGAAAAGAAGACAGTGAAACTCATACATAGAAAAATGCCCCATGGAAACTAAAATTCAAAATTTGTAGTACACACTTGAATATAGCTGTGGTTAAATCAAAAACTTTGTTTCAGAGGACAGGTGTGTGTAAGACATCGTTCTTTGAATTGCTTAATTATGCTTCATAGTATATGATTTGTACAGCAAAAGGTTTTTATTACAAAATCTCAAACACACGAAACAGCAATACAGTTTTATGAGGGAAAAATACAAAATTGTGAGTAGTTTTGAGAGTCAAGGCTCTATTTACATTATGCATTTTAGGCAGATGCTTATAATAAGATAAGTGACTTCATAACTTCCACTTGACAGTAGAATTAGAACAGATCCAATATAATACAATGCAGGCATAAGATGTGCATGTCCATGCAAATGAACATTTAAAAACAAATTGAAAGAGAAATAATAAGAAAGGTGGACTCATAACTTAAGAGCAGCGTTTGAACAAATTTAATATTATTACAATGAACTTAATACTGTGTATATTTTATGCAGATAAGAATACAAAAGACAGAAATGAGATGGGTGAACTTATAACTACACCAGTGTTATTGGAACAAATTTATTATAGCAATATAATAAAAACCTACTGTGGGATATTCATGCAGAGAAACAAGAAAGGACTAGTGAAATCTAGTTTATCATTCTCTGTGATTACTTTAAAACGTAAAAAAAAACAATACAATACAGTGCAATTGTATAGAGATTAATAAATTTCCCGTTCTATGTAGATTAAAAACAGTTAATCAACAAATTCTACTGTAAGAAGCTCCACATCACTCTGATTTTCAGATTCTGTTGTTTCTAACAAACAAATCATTTGCTCATCCTTGCATACCATTTTTCTTTCATCTTCTTCTTCACTACATTCAAGCAGATTCTCATCCTCCAAGGAAATATCGTCTGCAGATTCTGATCTAAAGCTTATAATTGATTCATCATCAGAATCTGCGAGTGATATAATTATCGGTGGTATATCTTGCACGCTTTCATTCCCCATCAATCGCACCCAGTCTTCCTTAATTATTTGTTCACAATGTTTAACACTATTTAGCCACATTTCCGGAGTATATTTAGACAGTGCTTTTTTCCATAAATTAGCAACTTTTAATTTTCCTGAAGGCTGTTCAAGAATATGCTTGTTGTAATATTGTTTACAAAAACCCCATACCATTTCAATGGGGTTGTACTGACAATGGTATGGGGGAAGTCGTAATACTTGTATGCCATTTTTGGATAGCAACTCGTCAATTAAGTACTTTTTTCGGGAAAGAATATTAGGTTTTATTATTTCATACAATTGCTTTTTCGTTAAATTACTATCAAAGGGAATTTCGTTTTGATGCAACCAAAGTTGTAATTTTGACTTTTTCCAAGAAAAATTGGGGAGCTGTTCAGCATGGACTGAATGATACGGCGCGTTATCCATAATAACAACCACTTTGCCGCTCATCTGTTTGACATTTGGAATTAGTTGTTGCTCAGTCCATTGCTTAAACAGGTCCCCAGTCATCGTCTTGTGATAATCTCTACTATCTACTTTGCTATCCAAAAATAAATCGCATCCTTCGAGAAAACCAAATTTGCCCCCGGCGTGAAGTATTGTGAATCGCTTTCCTTCATTCATGCAAACTTTCTCTGGCATACCCCTTCTATCACCTTCAAACACCCACCTTCTTACAGCAGAACCATGTTCATAGATCCACGTTTCATCGAGAAAAACGAACGTTACATTCTGATCTACCAGTTGCAAATATTGCCTTAAAAATTTAATTTTTTGAGATTGAAGTCTAGGTCCCTCAATTAAAATTTTTCGGTTATTCACTTTCTTGTACCTGTACCCCATTGATTTTAAAATGCGTTTCAGTGTTGTTAAACTCGCTGTGTATTCTAATTCAGTTCTTGCAAATTGAAATAAATCCCTTGCGGTGAAATATTCATTCTTTTTATTTCTTTGGTAGACCTGTAGGCTCAGTTCTTCTTTAAATAGGAAATCAGTGTGAAATCGACATCTTGGTTTTCTGCCCGTTTGGGGATCAAGAATAGGAACGCCGGCATTATTTTGGGAAATTATGGTTCGGATCTGACTTCTTGAGCACTATAAAGGATAAGGAAATAATGAGAAATTAACGGTTGTGATTGTCGGGTACATAGGACAGAATATCTGAAAGCCGCTGCTTATTCAAAAGGAGTACTGTACCGAAAATATGGTTGCGACTTTCTCTTCCAATTGTCGAATTGACAAAGTGGGACCGAGCTCGCCAATTTCTCGGTAACACTTTGCCACAGCAGTCTTCATTTTTTGCGACAGCAAAGTTCTTTTATGTCGGGAAGGCATAATATAGCTCTAAAAAAGCACGACTCGAACTTTTCGAAAATTATTGTTGCGCCTGTCAACTAGCTGTTAACGCGAAGCGTCATGCGCGCTGTCGTTACCAACCGCATTGATCATAAAATACTAAACGGCAGTGCTGCCAACTTTACTTTTTATCAGATGGTTTTATAGTAACGGTCCCGACTGTACATATTGGTACTTGAGATTGGAACATTCGTTCCAAGTTCCAAGCGGACAAGTGGAAGCGTCGTACTCAAACGCCACTCGTGATGAATACGTTCCAAAGTAACTAGTTACTTGGAGCGCTATTTTCTTGTAGCGGTAGCGGTTGTAGCGCTCCACGCGTGGAACGATTTTGCCCATCTCTAACGTTCACA